GCCACTTGGCATCATGCTTAGTTCAGTTGGTTTAGAGCAGGGGTGCTCAACCTCCAGCCCCCAGGCCAAATGCGGCTTGTGGACCCATCACATCTGGCCTGCAGGGCTCCCCATGTTAGGGGTGCACCAATAAAGATTTTCTTGGCCAATACTGATAGCTGATTATTAACCAACCATATTGACTGATGCCAGTCCAATAACCAGTATTTAGTAATAATGTAGTTTTCCTTCTATTGGTGCTGGTCCAATAGGCAACGGATATATCAGTGCGCCTATACCTATGGGTTAGGAAACTTGGCAGTGGGGGTGTAGTGGCCATTTATATGGAAACACTCTCCCCTGCCAAATTCTGAAACACCAACCAGTGTGTGCCCAGTTGCGGCCAGGTCAGGCTGCACCCCCTTCCCTTGCAGGGCTGGGCCAACCCCTCCCCTCCCCACAGGGCTGGGTCAGGGCCTGGCCATGCCCCCTTCCCTCCCTGAGGGGCCAGGTTGGGGCCTGGCCCCATCCCCTTCACAATCCCCCACCTCTGCAGGGCCAGACCACATTCCCTTCCCTTTCCATGGGGCTGAGTCAAGCTCCTTTTCTGTGCCAGGAACTGGCCTGCCTCCATCCCCCTCTACATGGCCAGATGGTGCCTGCCCAGGTGCCGGATAGGGCATGCCAGCTGTATCTGGTCTGTGGACAGACTCGGCACTGCCAGTCTGGCCCACCAGGCAAAAAGATTGAGCACCACTGGTTTAGTGTAATTGCCGCGTGGGCGTTACCCTGTGTGAGTAGCATCAAAAGCCGGTAATCACAGATGCTCCAGGAAAGATTGAAGGATTGTTTCCTAAGCCATTGTTGGGGATTCTTTCCTGCAGTCTCTCTGAAAAATGACATGATCTTTTCTTTTCCTTTCTCTAGACGGATGTGCAGAAAATCTTGAGAAATGCAAGAAAACTTCCTGAAAAAACTCAAACATTTTATAAAGTAAGTAACATTGTAGGATTGATTATAACTACACTCTGTACAAACTGGAAGCCCACTGGCGATGGCCCATCAATAGAGAGCCTGAGTGCCATGTAGGGGGTGTTGACATGTGGTCGGCACTAATTCTCAGCAGCTGCGGGGAGGGAGGTGGGCATTTGATTCAGTTCACTGATTAGTAAAGCTGAGATGCTGAATCTCTCTTCTATCTGCTGCTCACGTGGACAGAGTTCCTATACATTTTGGGGGTGGTAGATGTTCTCTCAGAGAGAGAGGAGGAATGGTATGCACTAGTCACTCCTGCCAAGTGAGCTCCTAAATGGAGCAGGGAGACGGTCTCATCCTGCTTTCACAGACCGGTACACTGGGCATAGGACTGGTCCAGAGGGGTCACGGAAGGAAGTGAGAGCATGAGTGGGCAGTAACCCCCACAATTGCTCGTCTGAGGAGCTGCTGCCTGCAACATGTTGAAGGCTGCTGTTAGCAAAGCAGAGTGAAAACTAATACTCCAAGGACAGATGGCTCCAGTGCAGCACTCTTAAAATCAGATTATGACCAGGGTCGATTGTCACTCCTCCCACAATAAAGCAAAAGCAATTTATGATGTTTGCCTCCAGCTGGGGTGCTGGTGTGCCCTGTAGAAAAACATGCAGAGCCACAGTCCCTGTCATAAATTTACAACCTAAGAAAATCGGTATTATAAATCTGCTGGCCCTGATGATTGAGATGCTAGGATGGAGCAAATGACAGAGCACTTAGCTTCAGGACTGCTAGCTTGGGAGAAGGGCAATGTGACCATGGAAGCAGACAAAAGCAGGTGATGGGGAAACTCAGCGCTTTTAGTAGCACTGGAGGTCGCCCTTACTTCATTTTGTTTCCGGTTGGGAAGCTTCCCAAACCAGAGTCCACCTGTTTTACTGTTTGAAGCAAGTTTGCAAGAAGCAGAATTTGTTAGAAGAATAGGGATGGCTTTCAATGGGATTTTTCTTCCTCCCAGGAACTGAACCGTTTGCGCAAGGCAGCCTTGGCTTTTGGCTTTTTGGATCTTCTGAAAGGCGTGGCCGATATGCTGGAAAGGGAGTGCACCCTTCTCCCCGATACAGCTCATCCTGATGCGGCATTCCAGCTTACACATGCTGCCCAGCAACTCAAAGTGGCAAGTACTGGGACCTCGGAATATACTGCCTATGACCACAACATCACCCCACTGCAGACTGACTTCTCAGGGAGCAGTGCCGAGAGAATGTGAGAGCTGGTTTTTAGAACTTTTTGGGAAGGATTTCCAAGTCTCAAGTGGTCCAAAGTTTCCTGTCTTACTTGCTTCTGGGACCTGTTCAAATATTGTTCAAAGAACTTTCATACGAATTGGAGAGTCTCTAAATACAATCTCTTTATTTCTAAATGTGGGACTGATTTCGTTTTTGGTGGATTTAGAGGTTGACCTGGAAAGTGTATTTTTAAATGTCTTGTGAAGGCCTCAAATACTGCATTTAAGCGTGAGCAGAGGGAACTTGGTATGTTGTTAAAGGATGTGTGAAGAAACAAAGACAATGCTCTCAGGCAGTGGATGGTGCCAGCACTATGTCCATACCCACTGGTGATTGGGAGCTAACTTCTCAGCGCTTAGATTAGTGGCAACAAGCATTGGTGAAGTCTCTCCCCCAACAGCTGGGGTTATCATTTGGGGCCTGCCTTTCCAAGTGCCAGGTATGCAACTGCACACACGTGCATGGCTCCAGGTTGGATGCACAGCTCACCCTTTCCACGAGCAATTGCCTGACAATTTATGGCCTGATGTTCAAAGTGCAGTTGCTAACGTTTTAGCATCACCTGTCCAGTGGTGCTGACACCCATGAAGAATAGTTTACATTCTGCAGTGAAAAAGTGGGCTTTTTAAAAATAAATTGTAAGATATGACATTAATAAAGGTTAATGTTTTATGGAAACTGCTTTTGGTTCCAGCTTCATAAGATCTCTGGCGTATTCATGCTTAGCATTACACAGGCTTAATATTGACCCAGGGAAAGTATGTCCATGCTGTTCACCATGAAGGTCAGGTAACAAATTGTTTCCAGTCATTTGTACAAAGAACAACACAAAAGAGGACTTTGCTTGTAAATCTTTATTGATAGAAACACATATTCTGTTGCTTTTAGAACTAGCAAACTCAGGAGATTATGGTCTGTAACAACTTACACCAGATATTACAACTTAACTGAGAAATGTCATGTTGTTATGAATATGCATTCTATAATAAAGAATAAATGCCCTGTTGAGGAGCTCGAACAAAATAATGGAAGGCAACATCCCTGCCGTGCTAACAAGATTTCAGTGCTAACACTAACCTATATGATCCCTCAACTGTTATCAAGCAGGTTTATGTATGCAAATGTGTGTGCAGTAGTGAAGCAGTAAGTTTATAAATTATGCCCTGCCTCTCCTGAGGAAGCTGTCTGTGCCCTGGCTTTGCCATCATGAGCCAAAGGTTCATTCACCAGACATTTCAAAAGCAGCAGAAGTTCTTCAAGACCTAATGTCTTTCGTTGATAAAACTGTTCGTTGCAAAATGCCCTCCGATGAATCTGTGTGTCCTTACCCTAGCCTGACAGGAAGTAGCACTGGGACTGTTTAACAGTGAAAAAAACAGCCAACAGTTTGATCAGTTGGGAGCTGGAAATAAGGAGGACAGATACCTTTTTCCTACCACACTTTTAACACACAGCCAACAGCCATGCAAACAGTGGGGTGTAGAGAACATTGGGGACGCTTCTGGATTATGGCTGTTAGCCTGCATTAATACTGCAAGCTGCTACAGGCTTTTAAATTTAACCACAGAAGCAAGACAGGGCTGAAGTCTAGGAGGTCAAGGTGGAGGTGCAGGGAGAGGGTCCACCACTGAAAATAGCTGATGCCAGGGTGGGGGCAATTTCTCTATGACGGTATTAAAAAAATCTCTCTAATGCAAACAGTGAAGTGTCTGAAAGCATTGCTTGACTCTCCCCTATCTGGTCTGTGGCACCAAAACAGCCTGCAGCTTCCTGGATCAACAGAGACCCCCAGCACTCCATACTGAGAGTGGGTAAGCAAGTACACTTGGCAAGCTCCTTAGCTGCACTCCTGTATTCAGGGAACAGGAAAACCGATGCTTGTTTCCAAGTCAGCACGATTTGATCCATCACATCCCCCTCGCAGTTCCCGACCAAAGCAAGGACTAGCTGCCTCTGCTGCGCTAATACCTCAGTGTTACCTGTGTGCCTCCTAATGCAGTGCTCATGTCTTTTTCAGGATACTGAGAACAAAGGGAACTTCCTGGTTTTCCAACATTTGAGCATCTAAATTCTCAGTCCGGGGCGGGGGAGAGAGTTAAAAGCCACACAACAGCACAAAGCAGCTGCTGCCTTAGTGTTTTACCTGGTAAGCCACCGAGGGACATCAGAAGGACTAGGCTGCTTCCACTACTAATGACTGGATAGGACATAGGCAGCCAGACAGGTGCTGTTCAGGAACACAAGGTACTCCCGCTGCACTGGTAGAGAAACTTGCACGCAAGCCAAGAACAAGTTAGTCATGTCCAAGCCAACCAGTTGTACCTCCAGGTTATTTATAATCAGGAGAAAGCTGCTAAAAAAAAAGCAGAGTTCCCACTGATCATTAATAAATCCCCCAAACCTTTTTGGGAGTGAATGGTCTGATATATCCCAACATCAGAAGCCTTATCTGCATGCAATATTGAAAGAGCAAATACCCAATTCAAAATAACTAGTCTTTTTCTATTCAGTGCTGCTCCATTTCTTTTCTTGTAAGCATATTATATGCAGATAACAGGATTTCTTGGTAACGTGGTGGTCAACGGGATATAAATTTAAGTATTAGGTCATTGTTCAACATTAAATACCATGCATATATGACTGAAGAGTAACTAAATACAGTATAGAGGAATGTTTTCCGAAGATGCTAAGAAATCTAACGTGATCGTTGAACTGTACAAAATTATTTATAGCATAATGGGTAAAACTGTAAGAATCACAGGCTCATCTCATCTTTAAGATAAATTAGGTAAGAATCAAAATCACAGCTTTGCTGACTTTACTTCATCTTTTTCTTTTTTGGTCCAAGTTTCTGCCTCCTTTGCTTGTAAAGGTAACGGAAGTTTATAAACAGTCCTGAAAGAGAGAGAGAAAATGTTTACTTGATGCCAAAGATCCCTGCAGATAATTTATGCCAGACAATTTTTTTTGCAAAAATTCAGGAACTGGCACATTTCTCAAACTAGCACTTGCAAATAATAGTTAAATGATTTTTTCCTTAGGTGTCTAATTATGAGAGCTAAAGTAAAACACTGCTTTGGTACTGCAAGGCTGCTCAGGTTGTCACTTTTGAAAGGTAGCAGAAAAAGGTAAAATAATTCTAGAGAACTTGCAAGGAAAGAAGTGTTGTAAAACTTGCAGAGGCTGTATCAGACTGGATCCCCAGTGAGACGGGGGAAAGTGTCACTGTGATTTATTTTGTCTGACAGAATGGACATCTAGTTAGGGTGCTAAGTTTTTGTTTGTAAATCCTGAGTTGAAAACATGCATTCCTCTGACATCAGTAGCTTCAGCCAAGACACCACACTTTTATCAAAGATCCACTAATAGAGAACAAACAGGTGTAGTTGATCACAGGTAAACATCACTTTTATATAATAGGCTGCTGTTAAGAAATCTCCTATATTGCTTTCCAGAGGACTATGCCTTCATATTGCATTGGTGCAATGACAGTCTAGTTAAACATCTCTATCATGTTGAAATAACTAAAGTTTTTAGCATCTCTATCTGTATGTACCTCAAAGTAATCTATGTTCTAGGTCTTCTTTTTAAGCAACCATTATTATTCACTTGTTTTACCTCTGAATTTGTTCAGTTAACATATTTAGACATAACACACGGACAAGAAGAATTTAAGCTTATACAAACTGGTGTTATGATTAATTCCCAAACATATGCTAATAATTTAATTTTTTTTAAATGAAGCTGTCATCTTCCTCCCCCCATCCCGACCCCCTGCCCCTCCCTGACCACCGATTTTGGATTTTTCAACAGCTGGGAAAACAACAAAAAAACCCAGAATGGCCTACCTAAAAATAATAATATAAGGTAGATTTGAAGAAAGAATGAAAAGTTGATTGTGACGTTCAGTGGATTTGGCAATCTCAAACTGAATTTTCCTGTTTCACTGAAGATGGGGATGGCCTGTATCACAGAGACAGCTGAAAGCAGAAAGTGAAGCAGGTGAGAGGTCAAGTACAAGGTAAACTATACAGCTAGTCAAACAGGAACTTTCTCAAATGTCTTCCTTATTTGGTAAATAGTAACTTCAGCATAAATCAGCTTAAAGTTGTTATTTTAAATGAAGTTGCCCCAAAGTCCTGGTCTTTGCCAGACTTTAGTCCTTGGGATCGATGAGCAGTGCTGTGAACTCATTCCCTGCAGCAAAGGGACTACTCAGCCTGTTTCTCTTATGGCTACAGCAGCTGGTTTCTCTTATGACTGCAAACCAGCGGTGCACATTTTTGGAGAAGAACTCCAAGCTGTTTCATGCAGAAAAGTTATTGTAAACACATTTGTGAGACTTCCTTTCATATGGAGGTGAACAAAGAATTAGATTGCTACTGTTTCTCTAGCATAATGGATCTCAAACTGGTCCTGGAAAAGAGTAGAGCCCACGGGTCCTGCTTCTCCAAGCGTCATCTGGCTGGGCTCCTCTCAGAAACGCTGTGCCCGTAGAGCTCTACAGGAGAAGTAGCTGCAGCTTGGAGAAAGCACTTCCAGCTCCATGGCTTTGACCCCCTTCGGAGTGGAGGGGTCAGGGGCTGCAGTTCTGCCACGACCACTGCTGCGTGGATGGAGTTTCCCCCAGAAGACTGGCATTCCCTGGACCATGGGACCATGTTCTTGGAGCCAAGATTGTTCCTGGTTCCTGCATCCTTGCTTGTGACCCTGGCACTTGGACACTAGCTCATCCTCTGCTGGAGAGGGAAGAGGATGCTGGCTGTGGCTTCCCACATGAGCAATGAAAGGCATCTGTAGAAGTGCTTCCCCATGGCACTTCCCGATGAAAATCAACCCAGAAGAATGGAAGAGTGAAATGCCATGAACCAGCCATAGGAGGCAGAAAACGGCATTCTCCTTTACACCAGGCCATGTGACAGTTCACAGCCAAAGCCTCACATACCTCCATTTTATTCCCCTGTTCTTCCCACTTATGAAGGGGCCATAGTAGTTTTCCTCTTTGGGGAACCTCCGCTGTGGGGAGGAAAACAACTAGCACAAACTCTCTCTGGCTCCTGGCCAACTACATGGAGCTGTTCTACTTCTCCAGCCAAAGCCAAATATGCAATTTCCTCCCCAAAGCTGCTAGTGATGTCTTCACCTGGATTGGCCAGCAGAAGGTACAGCTCACATGAGTGTAACCCCAAAACCCAGGTCAGAGCAGGGAGGAGTGCAATGCTGGCTATGTAAAGATGTCTTTAAAAAATTCCTCTGAAATGTGGTGGGCCAGGTTAGAGGGGGGATAAGAACTGCCAACCTGACTGCTGGAAACTGATGTTCTCTGTCTATCCACAGGGCAAGCACAGCAGTTGTCAGCAGCACTAGTGTCCTCCTAACTTCCACAGATTAAAGGTAAGGTTGCTTCTCCCACCAATGCCATCTCAGCCCTCTCCCAGACTACCAGCTAGGTTGCTAACAAGGGGTGCACTGATTTCATGGTTGATACTGATAGCCGATATTGGGGCTGGCCACATTGGCCAATACTGATCCAATAACCAACTTACAGGAATGTAGCTGGGCAGTATAGAGAGTACCCCACAGTGAGGGAGGGAGTGGGACAGGGTAGGCGCTGCCCAGCCAGGATGATGTATGGGACCCTGGGGCCATAAGCAGGATGGAGCCATGGGTGGCTTGCTCAGAGGGCGCAGGGGGAAGTTGAAAAGGGGGGCAAGCTCCCTGCCACTGCGTGCACCTCTGAGGGAGGCATGGTGGGCATGTGCCCCCTAGATTTATGCATGGGGAAGAGGTGGGCTGCCTGCTAAGGGCTCGTGTCCAGGGCCAGCGCCAGCCTCTTCCTGGTGGGGGGGCTAGGCCAGGGCTGGGTTCAGAGTGGGTGGGAGTGGGGCAGGTGGCAGCGCTGGGAGGCGTGGCCATGGGGGGCCTACAGTGAATTTTGGGGTGGCTATAGCCCCCCCAAACCCTGCTTAGTGCTGCCCCTGCTTGGGGCACTCCACTCTGCTGCCTTACCCTCAGGAGCCCTGTGCCTTCGCTCATCCCCTGCCTGCCCCACAGTGTGGGGCTCCTGAGGGAAAGGCACCAGAGTGGAGTGCGCTGAGCAGGGACGGTGCTAGAGGGGGATTTGTGTGTGTGTGTGGGGGGGGGGGCAATAGTCACCCCAAAATTCACCTCATCCCCCCCAATATAGCCACTCCACCCAGCACTGCCATCCACCCCGCGCAGCTGAGCCCACCCCACTCCTTCCCACTCTGAGTGCAGGCCTGGCCCAGCCCCTGCACTGGGAAGAGGCTGGTGTTGCCCCTGCCATGAGCCAGGCAGCCCGCCACCATCCTACCAGTGCAATGCTTTTCTTTAGCCAGAGGGGATGTGAATCCAATGTCTCACCACCAGGCTGTGGGCTCCTCCTGGGCGAGTGCTCTCAGTCTTTGACACCTGGACTCAGATGCCCTCCACAAGAGCTGGAGGCTCCCCACATCCTTGGCAGGAAGACTTTAAGACCACCCCTGCTACCATATTGTGCAAGTCAAGCCCCTCATTTCCCTTGTGATTCTTACTAGTGCCTAAAAAGGGGGAAAGCTTTGTTTGGGGCTGAACAAAACTTTGTTTTGTCAAGAAAAATCTGAAGCCAATTTGGTCCCGATCAAATCTTTTCTCTATGACGCGGGTTCTCTGATGCAGACACTCTGTTGTTCACCTCCATATAAAAGGAAGTCTCGCAAAAGAATTAGGTCGCTACTGTCTGTCTAGCATAATGGATCTCAAACTGGTCCTGGAAAAGAAAGGAAGTCTCGCAAAAGACATAGCAGCGCGATGGCGAGGTGGTCTTTCCCAAACATACCTTCTCCCAAGGCTCCGAAAGGATAGAGAGGGATCCAGATGGTGTATCGGATCCAGGTGAGGACCTTCCATTCCATGTCAATGGAGGAGAGCATGTAGAAGGGATACCTGGAGCAAAGGCAGTTTGAGAAAAACAGATGTTACTTATGAGGTTAGCTCCTTACTTAACATGCTGTTCCAGCATTGTGCACAGTGGCCACGAGGTGTCATCTGGCGACCCTGCTGACTATCTAAGATGCGACTGTGTGTTCAGTTCCTGCCTTAGTGTTCACAAAGAGGATGTTCCCTGTGGCTGTCTTAGCTGTGCTCTTCCTCTAGCAGGCTGCCAAAGCACAGCTGTTTGTCAGACAGCCCAGAGAGAATGAACTGCCTGGCTTGTTCGACAACCGTCTCAGTTAAAAACAGACGCACTAAAAACCAGAGCAGAGATTGGGCAGAACAAAAATTCCAAAACCCATAAAATCTGGCAGTGGCTGCTGCAGATGTCCTGGGGCAAGCTGCAAGCTAGCACAGGATGGGGGTGCCCCAGTGCTGCCCAATGGTGCCAAGAGACCCACTGCATGCTGGGCAAAATGGCTCTGTGGGCCATATTTTGCCCCCACCCCCTTCTATACCCGAAGAGCATAATTTTGCATGGCAAATGAGTCCTATGATTGTCCATGGAGGAGTGCAGGCATGCAGCTCTATCCTATCCCTATCACTAGAACCAATTCAGACTCTGGCAGACGCAGGGCACTAACCAGAGCATTATGCTGCAACTAGCCTATGTCCAAACAAACATGGCTCTCCAGAGCCGTAATGCTGATACTGATGCCAGAGAGCATCTTTCACAAGCAAAACTCAAAACCGTTTTAAAGTAAAGGCTCCTTTAAAAATGAGATTCATGCACAAGTGCTATGGCAAAAATCCAACAAACCTGAATATTTCTATCATACTCCAGGCATAGAATATGAAGAACACCACTGCTCTGCTTTGCATTTCTTCCATGCTGCCAAGGATGATGAACAAAATAAAATTCCTTCCAAATACCTGTTAGAGGAAACATGCATGCCTGTAAGTATAACAAGAGATACAAACACAGCAGTCAGGGGGCAAGCTAGCCCTTCTTCCCCTTAAAAGCTCTCAGCCGTAGCACCGTGTGTGCCTTTAGCACATGATACTAAGGGCAGGGGTAGGCCTGGGTGATATTGTAAGGCCAGGATCTACCATTGCAGCTAAGCTGTTTCCTAACCCTGTAGCTTTTCTGCACTGGTTGTGTTTGGATCCTAGCCAGAAGCAGGGAAAGAAGCCATGTTTCAGAAGCCTGGCCATACCTTATGTATGGCAGCAACTGACCCTGGCACAGAAACCTTTCTCCACCAGCTTCTCTCTGTCTTTTTGTCCCAGGGGTCCGGCCTAGGTAGGCAAACCAAGAAGAGGGCTTACTGCCCAGGCTGGGGAGCATGGTTTCCTCCTAATTAGGTCAAGTGGATCCCAAGAGTAACACCAATGCTGTTGCATTAACTTATTTTAGCAGTAAGGCCTAAATACTACTATATAAAATATAGAACTACAGTGACCAAAATGGCATGGGGGAAAAAGAGGCATCTTACCACATTACCTGTATTAGAGAAGGTATCAGTGGTGATCTGACAAGTCCTATTAACGAATTCACACTCTCCATAAGTGCAAGTGTCTGGCAGAAATACATCATGTCAGAAATGGTGTGGAAGGTATCATAGAAGGAATCTGTAAGTAACAAGAGAGCATTTAAAGGCATTTGAATGCCTGCCATGGCAAAACCTACTCAACAATACATCCCTTGACTGCAATCAATTTGCGCATACATTTCAGAATCAGGTTTGGATTTGAAAAGTTGGCTTGCCCACCTTGTATAGATGGCTTTTGGGCAGGCTATCAGAGACACACTTAGTGCCTTACCCTGCTCAAGTAAAGGGTCTTATGCTAGGAGAAATGCAATACGCTGAATTATTTCAGTACTTAAGGTACACAAAAGAAATGGTAGCACTGTACATCAACACAGTACATAGCTGTACACTTAAGAACAGCAGTGTCTTGGCTGTTCTGCTTTCACTAATACCAAATGTCAGCGAAGGCGACATCTCAAAAGGGGCATTTTCCCCACAGTACAATTTTTCGATAGAGAGCTTAGTATTTAGAGAACAAAGCAAACATTGCCCCTAAATCATGGGTCTGCAGTTGCCATTTACAAATCCACAGTAATTCCTCTCCTCAACGCTATGGCAACTTTGGGAAGTGTCCTGTTGTGTGTTTCAGTGAGGTGCTGACAGTTTCCTGAATGCGGCTTTGTTAAGATTTCATTATTTGGAAGTTTTTGTAAGGGTCAAAGAAATAGCACAGCTATAGAGTGCCTACTACTTGCCTTTTCCCAAGATAAACAGTCGAACTGTCATGTTCACAAAAATCCAGGAGAAGCCCAGAAACTGGACAAGATTATACATGAACAAGTATCCTCTCTTCAGGTGTCTGAAAGCTGCAATCAAGTATTAAACGTCAGGTTAGCAAAATGCAGTGGCATTCCCATTTCCTGCAGTGGGTGGAGGATGAGATGGGGATAGCAAGAGGTCACCGATTCAGCCTTTCAAACCTGGAGGTAGGTATCGATCTCTTCCTTATTAATAGTATGATCTGCTTACTGGAGTCAAAGGAAAACCAGGACTAGCACAAGAGGAGTGCTGGCTTTCCTGTCACCTGCTTACAGGAATGATATATCGAAAGCCAGTCCCCTATCAAACAGCAATGCAGTGACACTGTGATTGGAAGTGATTTATATGAAGTCTAGGGCACTAATTTTCCAGAAAGACATATCAAGCTTCTTCCGACGGTGCTGGAAGGAGGCATGTGTGTTACAAAGCACTATTTTGCCTGTGGTGTGTATTAACAGACAACTATCACGGTCTTTTAAATCCAATCAGCCTTATGCACTTAAAGATGCAGTCACTTACGATCTTTCGGGACTCTGGATTCTATTCTCATTTTGTTGATTCTTTCTTCCTCCTAAAGATGATGGAGAAAGTTATAAAAAGTGTTAGTGTAATAAGCCACTGACCTGTTAATTAACTATCCTGTGGCAGAGCTAGTGGGATTTACAACTCAGTTACATATCCATTTCCTACAAGCATTTAATGTTTCATGCATACAAGGGGGGGCATATTCTTTTGCATCAGGGAAGACTGTTCCCCCAAGAGCAAATGCTTGTTTAACCAGCAGAGTTACTTTCACTCTATGAGTGAGAATCTCTAACAAGCAGATGCTTTTGCTTTTCCTTGTTTAAAAAAGCTGCTTTCTAGGACAACTGTGGGTTGTTATTATTGCTTGAAGCTGTTTCTTTTTCATGTTAAGGGATCATTCATCCTCTGTTTCTCCTCCAGTCATTAATGGCAGATCTAACAGGTGTTAAATCCTGAGAAGTAACAAGGGAGTCTGTGTAGTGCCTAACCCTGTGAGACTCTCAACCAGCCTAAGACTTTGAGGCATAAGTAGTTACAAGTGAGGCTTGGTTTAAACCCAAACCAGCTCATTTGTGACTTCCCCTTCAAAAACTGGGCAAGATTATACATAAACTGCTTGCGACAATTCTGCTTGCATCTTGCTAGCAGCACGCTCACTGAACTCCAAGCAAATGGAAATGTTTAAACTCAGCAGCCAGACAGAGCCTCTTCAAAACAGAACAGCTGTTTTTCTCTCTCAGGCCATCACACCTCAGCTGCTGGTTTAACCTGTGTGCAGGCCATACCTACCTTTTCTCTGAGCTCCATTTCAGCATCCGACTCATCCAGCCAGCGATCAAAATCCGGGGCCAGAAAGAGTGGGCGTTTCTCTTGCTTGGTAAGTCTCTCCCACCAGTTGCTTTCTTTTTTCCGCACAGTGATGTTCAGCTGCCGCTGCGTCACTTTATACGCTGGCTGCAACAGAAAGGGCGAGGGCGGCCACGTGAACACGTGTCATTAGGGCCCCTTAGAGAGCAGGCTGGATTGAGCTGGGGCAGGTTGGTGGTTCTGGAAGGTGACATCCTGGATCAGCCACACGTACCAGCAGTGCAGGGTTATCCCAGCTGCCCCAGCCATGACCTCCATTCTGAAATTCCCCTAAGCCCCATCTGCATTTCAGGTGCTTAACCCCCAGGCTTTCTGCACCCTCCTCTAGCGATGAGGTATCCTGTTCTTTCTGGACTTCTTGTAGCTATCCAGGCTTTTTCCCATTAAGTTTGTCAGCACACAACACTGAAATGACTCAGGGGCTAAGGGAACCAGCTCTTTGATAATAAGGGACTGTGCACCCAGGAGCATGCAGTAGGGAATTCCAGTTAAAAAACAGGTGGAAGTAATGCAGCAGCAGCTGCAACATCAGCTTCTTTCATTAAAAAGGTGGGGGAAAAGGAAGCTTTCTTTGGAAACTGCATTGCTGGTGGCTTTGGAATGCCCTGGGCTGAGACCAAGGCGTGGTTTTGAATTTAATTTCTTTGAAATCTCATATTCACTTCTGATCCAACAAGCTGAGGCATCATCAGGTGCTTCCAGACTTGTTTAGCAATAACTATACACACCACAGAATTGCAAAGGAGCCAGAAGGATTCTCCTTGCTTGGTAGAGGCAGGAGCTCTGGGGGTCTCCTTTGATGCACTGCATGCAATGGCCATATTATTTGCAAGGTGACCCCCCCCAACATTGTGTCCTGCACGCCTCCCAGATTTCATCCTGCTACAGAAGCTGGACCAGTGACAGAAAGGCACCAACATCTGTCAGCTAGAAACTCCTTGTGGAAAACCTATTCTCTGGCAGGTGCAGGAAGCCCCGTGAAGAATTCTATGCTGGGGCTGGACAGTTAGACTGCCTGGCCAGTTGTGCTGCCCATAATCTATCTGTATGATCTCGCCGAGAGGCATTCCCACCCTCCATTCATTTTAACAGGCTGCAACAAGACAAGGGAACTAGCCCTCATACGCCTGTGGCAAGGAGATCGTGCGAGTTCCCCTGCTAGAGAACCAATTCCCGCAGAGGCTGATGGTCATCCGGCCGCAATGATACTGTTAGCTCCAAGCCATTGATTGCTAAGGGGTGTTTGCTTGCCGGCAGATCACCCTGGATGGTGTGGTCACACTGCTGAGCAGTCTCCAGGGGCATTCATTCTCCCTCTCAGAGGGTATCCTCACCCAGGGTCCCATCTTTCCTGGAGGGCTTAGCCAGGCATGATCCTTCCCTGAGCAGGTGGCTAGACTATATGACCCCCTGTGGGCCCTTGTGCTCCTCCCTCCAGCCCAGCCAATACCACCCACTGCCTTCTTCAACTTGTCATGCAGTGCAGCGAGACAGGCTGGAAAGTTGTCAGAAGCACCCAAAAATGATGACGAAAGCAACGCCTGCCTCGGAGGATCAACATTGTTATCTGGGTTTGCAATCCTGAGGTGTGGCGAGTCTGTGCAGCAACTAGGGAATCAGGCAGCCTTGCTCCATCCCTGCGGTTAAGCCAGGGCTTTGCCCGTTTCCTTGGGATGCCGACCCTTGTTGCCATGCCGCCAAGCCTTTGCCACCTCAAGACTCGACCACCACGCTTGCTTTGCACGGTGCTGTCCCTCCCGCCCACCCAGAGACCAAGATGGGTTTAGAACGCATCAAGCACCATGAGCATGGTACACCAGCGCCACAATCCACACCAAGCCCTTAATGACTTCAAGGGATTGGAAAGGGTCAGTTCTGACCCACAAAACCACAAGCATCCTGGGCCCTGCCCATCTGCCTGAAATGTCACCTCTCCCTGTGGGCTTTATGGCCGTGGTGAGATCACAGAGATGCTGGAACCCATCTTAGGCACTTTTTAAAGCTGTCTAGATCTGTATCCAAGATACACTCAAAAGGAACAAGCTTCTGTTAAAGAAAAGACAGAATTATCTGGGCAGCCAGCACAACATGCGCTCTAGGCACGGACTCTCCAATTTCTACTGCTTGCAAACTGAAGTCTCCCTGTAGTGGCAGGATTTCTCTTTCATCCTCCCCTCAATCCATGTCACTCCCTGCCAGCAGGTTTTTAGTGTCTCTAACAGTTAATGAAGGAGTTTGGGGGATTCCCATTTTGTCTTTAGTGCTGGGGACCAGAAAGGGAGGAGGGCGACGACTGCAGAGGCAGCATTCTCAGTGACCCAAGGAGGAAGGCTATCGCCCGAGCAGGTACCTGGATGTGGGACTCTGTATGTGTGGAGTGTCGCTGAACAGAGCTCACGGAAGAGGAGACCCAAGGAGCAGAGATACAGCTGAAGCGTGTTGTTCGGAGGGGGATCTGAAGACATGTTTCTCCGCGAATCTGTGCAGAGAGGCCCTCTCCAAGTAGACTGCAGCGTGAGTCACAGACTGCCCACTGCATGCCAGTGAACTTGTGTTCCTTTCCCAGCACTTCTGCATCCATGGTTTGCAAACCCAGTTCAGCTGTTTAGTCCTAGTGAGATCTGTTGAATTCTGCTTTACAAAGGGGATGGTCTCCTTCCCTTCCTCTTTACCCAACCAGAAGAGAGATCTCCCAGGTGACAAATCCCTGGCTCCCAGTCTTGCCACAGCTATTCCCAAGGGCTGCAGGACGTTACAGGTTCTCCTATGCCTCCCCTCACCTACTGGGAGAGCGGATGATTGCCCTACAGTGCTCCTACTGATGAAGAGGGGAACGATAGAAGAGGTTGTTTTTCCCAATCAGGCCCTTTGCCATTACACTGAGATGGAAAGTGAGACAAGGTTTGCCTGTAGCAGAGAGGCAGCACATCGCAGCAAGGCAGATGGCATTTTCCCCAATCAGGGCTGCTTCACACGCAAAATCCCTAGATTTGCTGCTATTTTACTAATCCACCTAAATTACCTTTTAAATCTATCTACTCTTCATTTCTGTGGCAAATTTAAAGCCCAGTCCTGTACACTATTACCTAGGAGAGCAACTGGCTGCAGTGAAATTATTTGCATGACCAAGCGCGAGGAAATCAGGCTCAGAGAAGGGATGGCAAACCCGTCCAGCATCTAGAACTACGACCGTTAGCAGACTTGCCTGTTAATCGCATCAGGAAACAAAGCAGCCACCCCAGGCAACATGCCTGAGGTTTACAACCAAGTAATTTCTCATTTGCATTTTGTTAAACTACATAATGGCAAGACTTTTCCTTTGAAAAGGACACCAGGAAGAAAGAAAATATACGTACTTTGGGCTCGACAGGTTCCAGAAACTCCAGCTGAAATTCATAAATGTTGTCCCCCTTGGCACCACGGCCCTCAGCTAAAACAAAAGAAGCAACAATCAGTGTCAAGACCATGGGACACCCCCCACCACACACAGTGTTGGTGAAACACATCATTGTTAATCACCAAGTAACATAAAGAGCTTCTTCTGCCCCTCCGGGCTGCAGGATCAAAGTACAGCATAACAGAAATGTAAAACCAGAACGAATGCAAATGAAATGCTAAACAGCTGAAACAAAGAGGAGTTCAAAACAGGCGGTGGGTGTCTCAAACAGGAATCAAGAGCGGCTTTATGGCCCAGGATCACCCTGGGAAGGGCTTTCTGCATGAGGTAAGAAGCCATTTGGTGCAAGTTCCACCTGACAGGAGTCACCACAGCAAAGGGTCTGTGTCCTATCCCAGAGGCAGCAGTGCAATCCCTGCAAGCCCACTGGTAACACACTGCAAATCCCCCATGATCCACTTGGTCTCTGCACAGGACAGGCTCAACTTAAAAATCTGCTCTGTTCTAGGGAGTTGCTGCAAAAGGATCCCGTTCGCCTAAAGCTGTTTGCAACTTGAGATGACACTTGACTCTCTTCTCCATACACTCCAGAGCTAAAAGAGACCTTTACATTCCTGCAGCATGAAACAGACCTCGAGGTTTCAAATGAGATCAACTTCAGAGAGAAAAGGCAGCCCTGGGATGTTCCTACTGCAAGTCTGACACCCCACGGCCAAGTTAGTGCTGCACGGGAGAGCTGCTCGGTCCACACAGAAGGGCTCCATTTCCCTTTTCCATTGAACATTAGTTCCTGCTAGCCGTTGTGCACAGGGTCTCTGTGCCAGACAGATTGCTCCGGGTTACTTCCAGCTCCTGGGCTAGGGAGGTGACCGGCAGAGAGACATGGACATCCTGCCGACATTTACATGTGGCGAGTGGGTTTGAACAGGTGAAACGTGGTGCTCTCTCGAGGGATGCTTGTATCAATGGATGCAGCTCATCCTAGGACCACCACAGCCACTCTGCCAGGGCTGTGCTACATCTCACCTGCTCCACGTGAGCGGAGGAGTCTGGGACTGGGGCCTACCTCATCTGGATCACAAAAAGTGCTGAGAAATCGTGGCAATAACTTCCTCTGACAACTTATTCTCTGTCCCAACAGACGGCATGCCGGCACCCAGCCCTGCAGAGAGATGCCCAAACGCTACAAACTCGAAAAACAGCCGCTGTCACCTACCTTTGAAATGCAGCACATTGTCAGTGATGGCGATGTCAGGGCTCTGCGGAAAGAGAAACCATTTTAGGTACGTGCTTGTTTTAAGCCTGGGCTAAAGAATCCCAGCTGCAGCTGGCCAGGAGTGCACCACGCGATGGCTTTCAATTCCAGCAAAGTAGATTTAGGTCAGAGGTCAGGCGACCACGCTTCCTTACTGTTAGAAACTCCTTCGCTGGAGCTTTGCAAGACGAGGCTGGATAAGCACTGGGCGGGGAGGATTTGGGAATAGTTTCCCCATGCTGGTGCACGGGGTTGGACCAGATAACCCATGAGATACTAGTCCCTGATCCGGTCCAGCTCACGCCCTTTCTCCAGCCATCTCTTCCCCCAACTCCCCCGTCCATTTTCATTTCTCTATCCCCTTTTCAGTTTTGTTTTCACTGAAACCTTCCTGAAAGTTTCCCAGCCCTCCAGACGGGACGGTCCTCCGCGCCGACCACAAGAATCGCCCCGCACCCTCCGCTCTGTCCGCTCCTGCACGGCTCGCGCGCCAATGACACGTGCGATTCGAAAGTCCAGCGTTTCGGAGACCAGGAGGGCCCAGCCAGCTCTCCGGCGGGGAGAAGCAAGACCCCACGGGAAGGGGGGCAAGGAAACCAAGAGCAGAAGCTGAGAGGGGGGTGGAGAGGTTGGTTGCTTTCCCCCCTCCCCAGGCAGCTGCGGGGCGTGGGAAGAAGGGCTGTGCGACACCCGCAGACCCTGCAGCTGGGCGCTACCTGCACGTCGCTGAGCTCCACGCGCAGGTAGAGCTCGTGGTGCCGCTGCGCCCAGTGCACGTGCGGCGTCAGGCTGGCCATGGGGCTCTGCATGGCG